CTGGAGACCTGTCCATGTGTCCCTGTGATGGACTGGAGACCTGTCCAGGGTGTCCCTGTGATGGACTGGAGACCTGTCCAGGTGTCCCTGTGATGGACTGGAGACCTGTCCAGGGTGTCCCCCGCCTCTCGCACAGTGATTGCTGGACATGGGCACCGGCGACCCCCGTGACCCAAAATGAAAGAGACGGGTAAAGATGATGGATGGATGGATGGATGGATGGATGGATGGATGGATGGATGGATGGATGGATAAATTAAAATTCAGCAGACTGAGACACCGTCACAAACAGAAGTGTTGCCTCGTACGTTATTCAGTTGGAAAAAAATTACACGTGAAATTTTATTCTTAAACACTGAGTAAAAGTTGACCTCACAAATAAAATAAACATAAATCCCTGCTCTGTATTTGATGCAGTATAAAGATTTTACCACCAGAACATCAGAAAATCGACCAAATGACCGTGTGTTTATACAGATCTATATTTCTCTAGATGGTCTGTAAAAGCAGCTGAGACTGAGCAGTCTAGAAGTCTAGATCTGCTGCTCAGGAAGTAGCACTGGGCTTTTGTTGAGCAATCTGTTAATACATTTGTGTTACAAAGGGAGTCTTAAAGAGAAATGACCTGACGATGTCGTCATCTACGGCCTGAGGCTTTAAAAGTGAAGAAACGGTCACTTCACACTACTGAAAACATGTAACAGCAATGATGACGGCAGGAAAACAAGAAATAACACGTCACATACTTAAACCACGCTCCCCGATAGTAACAAACGTGACATTTTCATCTTGTCTGCGAGTGTTAATAAAGACGTTTATCTAATGAGCTCAGGTTGTTAAATTAAATAGTTTTAGCACGCACGGCCAGTTGCTACACACGTCTTCCTCAGTCACGTCTCCCAGTGCAGCTCGCTGAACATGGCATGCTTTTAGACACGCATGACCATTGTAGTGAACAAATTCCTTCTGCCTGCACTAAAAATAAACTACTGAGCAATTAATACAGCTGATTTCACCCACTGATATTTCAAACTAGAAACAAATGAAGCTACAATAAAACTAGTAAACATTTCAAAACAAAGCACCTTGCAGTCTTTGAAGGAATGCATATCACCCGCCGCTTTTCATGCCAGCGTGAGGCGATGACAAATGAAGATGTACCGTTTGGGTCAAACCCTAAAGATAACACAACGCACGTGATCTGTGAGGGTCATGAGTTACATCAGATGGTTCTCAACATCTGTAAAGTTAATTGTAAACTTGCAGACGGTACTTTGTGTTTGCACGACACGTGTTCAGTTCTCCGTCATGTTTACAGCTAACGATGACCTCACATGAGGCGAGGTCAGGGCTGAGTTATGTTATTCTGATAAAGGCTGTCTGGTTGTTGCAGAATCACAATGAATCTACCAGTTAATCAGATGTGCACATCAATAATTACTTTCTGGGAGTTTAATTAAAATGTGTTATTTTACGCTGAAACACTATCACCCACCTCTTACCTTTCTGAAATGGGCAACAACAACTACAACGCTGATCTTCAAATGTGAGGTCAGTCATTTGGATTGCATAAGCCTCTTGTCAAGCTCTTCCTGCCGCAGCAAAGTTTGATCTTAGTGCTTATTTATAGACCGCCCGTGGTGTGAAACCAGATGGTGCCTTGCTGCTGGGCACCAGTTTTCACAAATGGGAAGTTCCTGCAAACTGTTTAAACTGTGTTTGGTTCCTGAATGATTCAACATTAAATAAAACATTTCATAAAATCTGAGAAGTTTTTCATGGTTGAAACCCACATACGCTGCTGCTTAACCCTCTAGTGTTGCTTCCTTACAAATCTGGCACAATTTAAGGGAAATAAAACGAAGATTTACAGAAAAGAAGCATTTTTAAATGAAGAAATGATGAACCAAACAGAAATCCCCTTACTTTTTGAGCTATGTTTACATCGAAGCTAGAGAACTCCAAAAAGTGTGAGGTATTCTCAAGGTTTGGGCCAAAACTCTTATTTTATTCAGATTTTTTTAAATTCTGGTGCAAATTTTGTCTACCCTTCTATCAATGAGAACGTACACAGAGAATCCAGATGATTTAGATGAGGAAACAAGTTTCACCTGGGTGACGTCCTCTGAGTTAACAGCATCAATTAAAACAGGGTAAAGCTATTAAAGCAGCTAATATGTGGCAGGAAATGAAGTAGACAACTAGACGCTGCACATTTAGGGCAGGGCAGCCATAGTGGATTTCTGTCATGTTGGAGCCTGAAAAACGACTTGAAATCTGATAAAAAAACAAACAGCTTCACTTTGTTCAGCAGGTTTCTGCGCTGAACCAGTCCCAAACAAAACCGGTTACAGACAAACACTCTGTTAGAAAAAAAAAGTTTTATTTATAATCCTTCACAGAATGTGTGCAGTTAAATCAGTTTGACCTGAATATTGATTTACTTTAGATTTGTGTGGTTTAAGCAAAGAAACAAACTCTCATTTGTTCTTTAAGAGTATATGCATTTATGCTAAAAAGTAAAGGCCTTGAAAACCAGAATAATTACTTTTGGTGCGGACTTAATTCTGCAAGACTTCTGTTTAAAATGTTGCCAATAATGAATTGAAATTACCCGTCTGTTAACAAAATATCTCATGCACTACTAGTTGGATTTTAATGAAATTTTCAGAAAGTAATTAGCATTACGTCTACAACTGATTAAACTTTTGGAGTCAGCCCAATTCAAGATGGCCACCACAGCCAAGTGACCATAGGAAAAACAAAAATGCACATGACTCAGCTAATTTTATTATGAGCTGAAATTTGGTGTGGTGGTAGCTGGGAGTCATCTTTAACATATTCTCTGAATGCTAACACATCTCGTGAGATCGTGCATTTACAAGGTTTGTCCAGATTGAAAACATTTCTCTTGTTAACCAGGAAAGCAAAGACCCTATGTGAGGGCGTGGAGTTTTTATCTAATCTGCATGTGAATACATAACGACACTACTTATTTAACCAAAATGGTTACAACACTGACACATGGAGGCTGCACTGAAGATGTTGGAATCAGTCTCCCCACCATCACGGACATCTACACCTCCAGATGCAGGAAGAGGGCCACCTGCATCATGAAGGACCCCACTCACCCAGCACACACACTTTTTCCCCACTCCCCTCAGGAAGGAGGTTGAGGAGCATTAAGTGTAGAACCACTAGACTGAGGAACAGCTTCTACCCTGAAGCTGTTAGACTCATGAACTTTAACCAGAATAATCACTGTGAAAAAATCACATCATGTTGCTGCTGATCTGTTTCATGTTGCTGCTTATCTGTTTCATGTTGCTGCTGATCTGTTTCATGTTGCTGCTGATCCGTTTCATGTTGCTGTTCATGTGTGCTCATCTGCTCACACAGACTCGTGTTCGTGCTGATGTTCGACGTATTCTTTTTATTCTATTAGTGCTTAGTGTATATTTAGTTGATGTTTTTCTTAGTTCATATCTTAGATACTATCATTGTTTTTCTTTTACATTTTATTGTTGGATGTAACTGGGACCCTGTGAACATAATCTCGTTCCACCACACGTACCACATGCGGTGCAAATGACAGTAAAGAATCTCTGACATCTCAGCACAAATCAATTTTAGTTTAAAACCATGACATGAAAGGCAACAAATTATATGCACTCCTTCAAGAAATGTTATATCTTTGAGATGAAATGTCTGCTTTTTGTATTTGCACGTGTATGTTTTCCTTGGTGTTCATTAACATTTATTATATTCATTCAACCTTTATTTATACAGATTAGTCTCAAAGAGTCACAACGACTCATTTTCAAGAGAGATCTGTTTTAGACAGATAACATGTAAAGTACAGACAACAAAAAGCAATTAAAATAAAATAAAATAGTTATAAAAACAGTCAAATCAAGATGCCATATAAAACAAGATAAAATACTCAAAACAAGACCATATTTGCTTTAACGGAAGGCATAACAAGTCAGACTGAACGATGTCAAATGCAGACTGTAGAAGCTGGAAAACCTTGGCAACTGTGTTAGCTCAAAAATAAATAACTGTATCGTCAGCATGCAAGGATGCACCAGGAATGTTTTGACCTACATTTATATAAATTGTAAAAAGAGTGGGTCCAAAAACTGAGCCTTGTGGCACACCATTACTGTTAAATAGCTAGATGAAGTGCCGTTGTGTCAAACGCATTGCCTCTGACTTGAGAGTTGGTTTGAGAAGCAACCAACCATGTGATGTGAGAAACCAATATCTAAGAGCTCATGACATAAGATGTCATGATGTACAGCATCAAAGGCTTTGGACAGGTCTAAGAAAAGTGCAGCTCAGTGATCCTTAGGGTCCAAAGCTTCAACAACATTCAAAACTTTAGTGAAGCAGTCGTCGTGCTGTGTTGTTTCCTGATTTGGTGGAAAGATGTATGTAATTAGTACATATAATAATGTACAGGTAATAATAATAATAATGTGCATGTATGCAGTCTGTATACGCTAAAGGTTTTTAAGACTATTTATTGGGTTCTTTCAGAGAAAGAAGGCTCAAGCGTTAAACTTTGTGAAATCTTTATGGGTGTTGAGGTTTAACCTTGTGACATGAACACAAACCTGAAGCTAATGATACTACCCTGGTTAACGGTTCAGTCATGATGACACTACCCTGGTTAAC